CTGCTCTAAGGGCACACAGCCATATTTGACATGTCTGTCAAATTCACAAGTCTCTCCTTGGGTCGGCCTGCGGCGTTCCCCCTGGAGAAGCCTGTCGGCTGCGTCTGTTCCCCTGTGCACTGGAGACTGTAGCTGCTACAACCATTAAGCTCCCACTTTCCCAAGTCTCTGTGAAAGGGTTACTTCCTGGGCATGCACAAAGTTGATGTTATTTGGGTAAAAATGTGAAGTCTAGGCCCACGTTGCACTTAGTAAACTAGGTAGTATCTGTGCAAGAGTGTTACTGCAGGGATGCTAAGTGATGCTGTTTGTAAATGCTCCTTGCACACATTATTATGCATCTAACAAGTTCACAAAAATGAACATTTTTTCTGGACATTTTCTGGGTCTGGCCATAAAATATCCTGTGTTAGTGTACATCGCTGGACTAACAAAAATACAACACTGTTTTCTCTCTCTAGTTCTGAAATTGGAGACTGCATATTCTTATCAATGCCAGAAGGAACAGAGACTAGATCTTAGCCTAACTCATATATTTAAAGGCTCTTTTCCCCCAGATGTACATATTAATTTGGAAACAAATGGGGGAAAAAGAAGTCCTTTGAAATAAACCAGATTCCTAATGGAATAAGAAAACTCCTTCCAGTGCATTTTCTCCCTCTGTGTCAGCTTTTAATAGTTCTGTTTCTGGCACGCATCTTTTGAGATTTCTTTAAAGATTGTTAAGAAATTTTCTCTTACATCAACAAACAATTTTCAGAGCCTGAGCAAAGCTTTAATGAAAAGCATCTTGCACAGAAAATCGGTAATCAGGGAGGGAAAGGGGCAAAAAGGCTGTAAGAAGGGAAGCACAGGGCTGCTTTGTAATTTGCCTTTTACTTTCTAAGATCACCCAAACATAAAGCTGCATTTCAGGCTTGTAAACAATTGTGGTTTTTTCTCAGGAAAAGAAATGCTTGTATAGGGTATGTGTGAGTAACGTTGTGTATTGAGAACTGCAGTCAGTAACTTCATTTGCACCTACAGGCTTGTTTCTATTAATGCCACACTGTCATTAATTTGCCCTGGCTCACCTAGCACTCAGTGAATGGTGAAGAACAAAATCCGAAGCAAAACCTTACAGCCTCAGGTAGTGCCACAGAAAGCCCTCCCAACAATACTGGAAAAGCCTGGAAAATGTACAGTAGACCAAGTGTTTTGCTGAAGCTTTAAATGCTAGCAAAAAGCTTTCTAGGCTTTTACTGGCCAAAGGCTCCTGGACTCACCTGCTATGTTTTTTTTTTTTCCCAGTGAACAGAAAGCAGGAGTGCCTCTGAGCAGAGCTTAGCTGAGCTACCAGCACGGTTCCTGCCTGAGACCCTGCTGATCTAAGGGCTCAGCAGACCCGTCGCACTCTCTTGACTCTCTTGTTTAAACATAATGACAATGCTACAGTCTTTTTCCAAAATACTTTGGGGTTGGGAGACAGGGTGCATGTGCATGTATGTGATTGTCTGGAAGTGCACGCCCTAAAGGTGGAGGGAGCAAGTTTCACATGGTGCACCTTCAGGGTTGAAGGGAAAGGAAATACAGGAGGCACACCTGTCTCTGCTACCCTAATGAGAGAATTAAGGAAGCACGAAGCAAGCACTGAGCATACCCATAAAACAGAAGGTTAAACCTTTTTTAGCTCTAGGTCTAAGTTAAAAACCATATTTGGGTAATTCATTACACACCCAGAATGTGTGAGGTGTTGATGATTCACAGAGTGCCCAGGAGTGATGAAAAAATGCCACTTCTGATTTAAAAGGAATCGAGATGATCTGTATTAGCTTGGTGTTTTGGTCACCAGGGGAAGGGGGGAGAACCATGCACTATCAAATGGTTTTTTTTATACTTACGTAGGAATGGAGATAGGGAAGAATGTAACCCTGCAGAGAGTTTCAGGTGTTTTTAACAGTAAATGATTAAAAATGTATGTTTTCAAAATATTCTGTGAGGCTGTCTTACAGGAGGTAATCATTCTCACCGTACTGAAAACTGTTCATAGCAGATATTAAAAAAATGAAACATTTTGCATTTGACTGTAGTTTCATCTATTTTGTGGTGTAGAAACAAATGTTTGTTCTGTGGGTTTTATTTATATAATTTTATTTCATTTTTTTGTACTGGTTTATCTAAAAAAGAAACAAGCAAGCAAAAAGCTCACAGCAAATGAAAAACTGAAAGGAAAGGAGAGGAATTCACAATACCAAATATACGTAGTCGTTGAAGATACATCTAGAGCTTGTCAAAATGTATATTCTTTTGTATTAGAGGCATCCTTGCCTTAAAATCTCAATAAAAGAGCAAGAAGCAAAGGCTCCAAGTCTGCCTTATGTTCTGCACATGTTTAACTTCAGGCACCGTCATCGTTTTGGTGGTAATGTGAGGGAGGTCAAGCATATGGTAAGTCCTTGCAAAAATTAATCTAGGGGACCGTTGCCTAAGTGGTCGGTGGAGTCAGTTCTTGTCTGCAGTAGCCTGGCTGCTGCTGGTGTGTTAGTTTTTTTCTCTCCAGCTGTAAATCTCATTTTTAAAATGCCAGCATGTACCAGACGCTTTCCAGCTAACACTCCTCGATGTGGTTATTTGCAATAGCTGCCAGGGGTTTATTAGGGGGTCTCAAAAGGGAACAGTGTCTGCAAACTGACTCTGCATCCAGATACAGCTCTTGCTCAAAAATACACAAATCCCTGGGTTAGGTCCATGTAGTTCTAGCACAGACTCCAAAGCCTTAAACAAAATGTTTTCCTGTCAGTTGCTAAAATACTGCGTTTCTGTTTAAATAAAACAAGATACAGAAAGGAGTCTGAGAGATGACCTCATTAATGTCTACGAATATGTAAAGGACAAGTGTCTGGAGGACAGAGCCAGGCTCTTCTCAGGGACATCCAGTGATAGGACATGGGGCAATGGGTACGTGCTGGATCACAGGAGGTTTCAGGTAAATATAAGGAAAAACTTTTTCACGGTAAGGCTGACAGAGCCCTGGAACAGGCTGCCCAGAGAGGCTGTGGAGCCTCCTTCTCTGGAGTCATTCAAAACCCGCCTGGATGCAATCCTGTGTGACCTGATCTAGGTGATCCTGCTCTAGCAGAGGCATTGGACTAGATGATCTTTCGAGGTCCAACCCCTAAGGTTCTGTGATTCTGTGAAGAGGGAAGGAGCTGTGTAGTGTAGGGTTTCACTTTATGGTGTGAGATGATGGTTTTGATTTCTCTGCAACTGAACTAGGTGATCTTGGGCAAGCTGCTGGACTTCGTGTCTTGTGTTCTTCAGGTAAATAGTTGTGCCTCTCTCTGTTGCAAACATGCCGTGAAAATACAGGCCTGTGGTTGCAGCTCTTGTGCTGGTGAGATCAGAGATTCCTGTGCTAGGCTAAGTAAAAGCATAGTGGGGAAATTCGTGTGTAATACATTGATCAAATTCATCTAAAATGTACTTAATTTTAAAACTCTGCCTAAACCCAGATTTGGGCAGGTTTGTTGAAGGTATTTCTGGCTCTACCCTGCCTAGCCTATATCTGTGCTGTCAGTCACAGAGCTGTAGATTTGGTGTTACTTAAGGAGATGGCTTCCTTGCAATTCCAAATCCCCGGATTTGGTGATGCTTTAAACCCACTGTTCTTACTCCATTTGTGATACTTGTTACTCTAGTGGGCACTAAATTGTGGTTCCTGTTATTCACCTCTGAATGGCACTTTCTTTCGTAAAGAATTCCTGTGGAGATCAGTACTGGGAGGTGGGAGGTGGAAGGAGTGAGCTCAGCAGAAGCATTCATCTCTCACACACTGGTTACATCTCTTACACACTGGTTTCAACTTGGGTAGCGTAGCGCTGAGGTATCTCAGGGTCTCTGAATGTATTGCCCAAGGCATTTGCTTGACTATCAGAATTATTACCTAGTTGTCTTCTAGCCTTTTATTTGCTTTGCT